GTGAGGCATGAAATCTTTAGACACACAGATATTATATGACAAAAAATAAGTGCATCAGTTTTCCGGTGACATTTAGTGTTCCTGGTGTCTGTTTCTCATCTCGTCTGATCTGGTGTCTCCCTATCTCTTAATCACAAGGCTCCCTACCCATGACTGCCTCAGAGAGGGGCTTTATAGACATCCTGTCTCTGTTCTTGCCTCCTGGGAACAGGCCTAAAGATGACAATCAATTCATTTGGTAATTGGTATATTGCTGTCTCTCCACTTAACTTCCTAACATCCATCCAACCACAGTGTTCATGCTCTGGTAGTTTCCTTTGGGCATTTACACAAGCAAGTGCCTGACCTTTGACCAGCTTGCACAAGATACATATTGGACTGTGTCTGTATTCATGGACTGAACTCTATCATGGAGGTTGTAGAGCTATCTTCTGCCAGATCCTGACTTGTAAATGTTCAGGAAGCACAGGCTGACCTTGCCAAGGCCTGGGTGCTTTCCGTCCTCTGGGTGCTGACTAAGCACTTACAGAGCCCCCTGCCCCCAACCCCCCGGCTGCCCCCATCTCAGTGCTTAGGAAATTTGTCTTTGACTATGTAAGATTTATATGGCATGATTTCCCAGGAAATCCCACCTCTCTATTCCCCAAACTATTCTGTCATGCCTGACACTGCTTTAATCACCAACACTAGCATTTGCCCTTTAAAGCCAAAGTTTTTAAAAACCTCTAGGAATAGTTCAATTTTTTAAAATGTAAACTTTTTATTGAAGTATAACATTCATGCATAAAAGTACACAAACCAGGGGCACCTGGGTGGCTCAGTCGGTTAAGTGTTTGACTTTTGATTTCGGCTCAGGTCATGATCTCAGGATCGTGAGATCGAGTCCTGCATCAGGCTCCATGGGGAGTCTGCTTGAGATTCTCTGTCTCCCTCTCCTTCTGCCCCTCCCCCCATGCTCTCTTTCTCTAAAATAAATAAAGCCTTAAAAAAACAAAGTACACAAACCATAATGAACCACTAATGTAATGAATGCAAGGATCAAGAAACAGAATATTGCCATCTCCCCCGGAAGCCCTCCCCACCACGGCCTTGTGTTCCCTTCCAGTCATCTCCTCTTCACCCACCAGGGAAACCATTATCCTGACTCATAAGAGATTACTTTTGCTTTTGTTCTTTATATAGATGGGATTGTATTACATGTATTCTTTTGCGTATACAATGTTTCTTTTGCTCAGTATTATATTTATGAGATTCATCTATGTTGTTGCATATAGTTGTGGTTTATTTGCTTTTATTGGTGTATGGTCTCCCATTGTGTGAATAAGCTACAATTTACTTAACTATTCTAATGCTGATGGGCATTTGGGTTGCTTCCAGTTTTTTACTTATAAATAGTGCTATTATTTGTAAATAGTGTTTCCTAGTTCAGGTCTTTCAATGAACATATGCACACTTTTCTGTTGAAAATACACTGAGGAATGGAATATATGCAACACAGGATATATTCATCAGTACTAGATCCATTCTTTCTATTTAGCCATTCTGGAGGGTGTGTAATGGTATACATTGTGTTCTTCATTCCCATTTCTCTGATAACTAGTAAAGATGAGCACTTTGTTTTCTGTGCATTGGCCACTTGGATATCTTTTTTTGTGAGTTGTTTGTTTGAGACTTTGGCTAAATTTTCTATTAGGTTTCCACCTTTTACTTAATGGTTTTTAAAGTTCTTTGTATAATCCGATAATTTGTTAAATATGCATACTGCAATATTTTTTCCCACTTTGCGAATTAACTTTTCATTGTTTAATAGTCTTCAAAATAAACAGAAGTCTTTATTTTTTTTCCTTTATGGTTAGCCCTTTGTGTATCCTGTCTAGGAAAATTTTTTATGCCCTAAGGAAGATATCATGAAATATCATGAAGATGTTTTCCTGTTTTCTTTGAAACTGACTTTTATGTAAAGTGTAAAGTAGGAATCAGTATTTTTTTTTTGCCATATTATTCAATTGACCCAGAACTACTTATTGAAAAGTCCACACTTAAAACTATGCCTTTAATTATGGGATTATATATGTGTGGATCTGTTTCTGGGCTATATTCAAGAAGCAGTTAATTGTTAAACTTATTCTCAAGAAAGAATGCCTGTAATCTGCTTCTTTCCTCAAGTAGCATTCATTACATACTCATTATGAACTAAGCATCATGCTAAGAATTTTTGCTGCATCATTTCATTTTAAACCTCATTAACCCTCTGTAAGATAGCTACTAGTGTAATCTCCATTTTGTAGATGAAGAAATTAAGACTCAGAGAATTAAATAATTTGCTCAAGATCTCCCAGCTAGTAAGTGGAAGAAAGTCTGGCCGACTTTAAAATGTGGTTCTTTACTATACTGTCTCCCAGAGCAGCTTTTTGAGTGGGCAATAAGAGTATGTATGTTGACAGTGAAAGGTAATGCAGAGAAGTGAGACCAACTTCCCTCACCTCCACCTATCATAGTATTTTGTTGCTTTATTTGAGTTATATGGCATGTGGCAGTGGTATACATTTAAATTTTCACATTCATTGCAATAACACATTTTATAAATTAGGAACCATAGGTTTATGCTATTTACTAGGTACTTGGCATATGATAGAATATATTGTTCCTTTTTTTAAAGATTTTATTTTCAAAGTAATCTCTATACCCAATGTGGGGCTCAAACTCACAATCCCAAAATCAAGAGTCACACGCTCTACTGACTGAGCCAGCCAGGTGCCCCCATAGAATATATTGCTGTTATTATACTATTCATTTTTTCTTTATTACTTGTCAACCTTTTACATATTTGTAACCCTGATGAACAGAAGGGTGCTCTGCCCAGAGCAAGGACTTAATAAATATTTGTGTTTTTATAGTTGTTGAGCTTTGATTGCTAACTTGAGGTTTTCTGTTCGGGTAGGTTTTCTATCCTGTACAAATTGTTTTTAGTTCAGATCATGTGATCTATCCCTAACATGTATTTCCTATTTTTTCCTCTTTCTTTTTCTTTTCTTTTTTTAAATATTTTTTCTCTTTCAATAACTGCCGCCTCAAAGGGAAAAAATGCAGATCTTTGGCTGCATGGTCTGGCAGCAACAGATTTGAAATTCTTAAAACGTTAGAACCAGGAACTACTTTCCACACAATCAATGGGCTAAAAAGAGAGGGAGAAATTGACAGAGACACGGAGACAGAGAGAAAATGGAGTCTCATAGAGAGACAAGCACTCCTAGTTCTAGACCTTTACCAGGTCTGTGGCTTTAAGTTCTGTGCTTTAATTTCTTATGTGCAATTGGGGCTGATAACAGGATTTGTTTTAAGAGTAAAATGAAGCAGTGGACAAAAACATACCAAGAATGGTAGAAAAATGCTATTAAATGTCAAATACTGGTAGAAAGTAAATTGAATACAATGTACAGATGTGCTTGGTTTTAGTAATAATAAAAGAACTAAATATTGATTTTAGATATTTACTAAAAAAGAAACTGCTTGACAAAGTAATTCAGTATAGTATAATATTAAACTGTGGTGTATTATTACTTTACATCTTTTGAGTTAATGTTTTTATTGAAGTATAATCTGGGACGCCTGGGTGGCTCGGTCAGTCTAGCATTGGTTTCGATTTCAACTCAGGTCATGATCTCAGGGTCCTGAGATCAAACCCTGCATATGGCTCTGTGCCCTGTATGGAACCTCCTTAAGACTCTTTCTCTCCTTCCTCCTCCGCCCCTCCCCCTCAAAAAAAAAGTATAATCTGATTGTATTTTGAAATGATCGAATTTACATTACTTTAACTTACATATTTTTAAGATCACATTCACTGCATTGAGTAAAACAGGATTTATCTATAATTTACTGTCAGGGATAGAAGGGGGTCTTGAATATCGTTATCTTCTGTTTAGTGCAAAAGATGTAAAATGATATGCATGTTAAGTGCCAAGGTTTTCTCTAAAATGGGCGCACTGTAAAAGTCAGTGGCGTGCCAGTTCAATTCACCAAATACTTAATTAGCGCTTTTGATTTCCAAGGAACTGTGTTGGGTACTAAGGAGGCAGCAAGGATGAATAGCATCAGATGAAGGCAGACAACACCTGAACCCAGTAACTAGTCCGCAAAGCAGTTTGGGGCATCATAACATAGAAGAGGTAAAACACAGGGAGAACCTGGTGGAGCTCAAATAATTTAAAATTTCCTGCCTACGTTTTTTTTTTTTTTCCTTTTTCTTCTTTTTTTAAAAAGGAAATCTTTTGGATTCCTTTTCACATGTGCCAGGTTGTTGTCTGCAGGGAAGTTGCGACCCTGTTAAATCTCCCCTATTCCCTGTTCTTCCTTTCCTCCCATATTCCATGAGCTCCTCTGCCACCAGCACTGCATTTGGAATGGCATCTATTGTGTGGGTGGTGAAACGATGGAAAGTTATTTTTGTTCTAATTATGAGAACTGTTTTATGGAGGGGGTTGGAGAGGCAGATCACAGACAGACGCTCAACGAGGATGCTCCGAGGAGGCGTTACTAAGGTTACTAGAAAGAGGACGGCAGGTGATATTTAGGCAGGGCTTTTTCTAAAACAAAACATTTTCAAACGATGGGCGTGGGCGTAGTGTGAGCAGTGCCACACGACATTAGATGACGGGCTCCGAGCGGAAGGAAAAAATTGAGGGCTGCGACTTGAGAAAGCAGGAAGCCTCTGCCTCCCCTCCCGGCCCTGTTTTCCGCTGCCTTTGTTTCCCGGGGCTGTTCTGGCTGTAGCACAAGGTCGCCGCGCCCGAGGACGGTGTCATTTAAATGTGACACGCGGCTGCGCCGGACCGGAAGCGACGCCCAGTCGGGACCCGTAGGAAGAGGCGGGGAGCGGGCGGCGGCGGTTGTCGCCGTGAAGAGGCTGAGCTGTCGGCGGGAACGGGACGGGCCCTGCAGCGGCTTGCTCAGTCCGTGGGTCGTCGCTGCAGCCGCCGGGAAAAAGGGAAACGACTCTGCGGGCGTGCTTGGCAGAGCAGGGAGGAGGAAAGGGGTGTGTCATAAGGGCCTTGAGTGTATTTGGGGTTGGGGAGAACGACGTCCAAACTTGTTCTTCATATGCTACTAGTTGATTACCTTGTTGTTGTTGTTTGGTAGGTTCTAGAGACATCCGGCGTCTCTCTTCTCGAATTTCTGTCGGCCCTTGTCTGTTGATTCGTAGCTCGAAGTGAGTGAGAGCTTTTTAGTGCAACCACTGATTTGAGATGGGTATGGGATGGATGAAGACGCCAGAGAAAGGGCGAGGGGGAGCAAGGATAGGAGGTGGTGTCGCGGTTTGTGGGAACAAGATGACGTTAATAATAGTCAACATTTACAGGATTTTACCATACTGGACTCCATTCTAAAACTCTTTATATGCCGTAACTCATTTAACATCCAGTCCTATGAGACTGGTACTCTTATAGCCTCATTTTATAGAAGGGGAAACTGAGGCTCAGAGAAGTTAAGGAAAGTGCACAACGAAAGACATGAAAATTTCAGAGCCAGGACTGGCACTCTGGTAGGCTGATGCCAGAATATATCTCTAAGCTCCACACAGTGGTTGACCCCCATCAGGATGTAAAGAAAACGAGGACATAAAGGGTGAGAAGCTGGTATGGTTTGAACAGATGTCATAAGACAGCTGGAGCAAGGAGTTGACATGATAAAGGGTGTGAGATCTGCAGGTGATGACAGATGTAAGGGAGGATAGAGTTGGAACTGTGGCCTTCTAACCTTTACCTCCAACCTAGGCTAGGACCTTCCTCTCTAGAATTCTGTGGGACAGGGAAGAGAGGTGTACACCCACACACTTAAGTTTGAAAAAGATCACAGACTTTATTTATTCAGGGTAGCCAGGACTAGAAACGTACCTTGTCTTAGGTCCAATGCAACAAAGTTTGGGGAGTTATTTCTTCTTTTTCCTGCTGCACTTGTAATAGTAAATTTAGTTTAAAAATTTTGATATGTCATTTGACCAGGACTAGTTCCTTGTAGCCATATGAATTGAGTATGACCTCAAAAGTCAGATCATCCACTGATTCCCCATTAATGTGTGTCCCAAATTCAGTATAATGCTGTAACCAGAGGCTTCCAGCACAACTGAGTGACGACTGAGATCTTTCAGTATTTCTAAGAATTTCAGTTAAAAAAATGAATTGGAACAAGATAAAGTTAACTAGGTCAAAGGGCAAGATTGTTTACCTTGAAGAAAGAAGGTTTAAAAGAAAAAGGAAATCTCAGGGCACCTGGGTGGCTCAGTCGTTTTAAGTGTCTGCCTTTGGCTCAGATCATGATCCCAGGTCCTGGGATTAAGCCCCACATCAGGCTCTCTGCTCAGCGGGAAGCCTGCTTCTCCCTCTCCCACTCCCCCTGCTTATGTTCCCTCTTTTGCTGTCTCTCTCTCTCAAATAAATAAATAAAATCTTAAAAAAAGAAAGAAAGAAAAAGGAAATCTCAACATATGTTAAAGATAGGAAAGTTTTATTGAACTGATAGTGTACTGTTCACAAATACAGTAAGTCTAATGGAATATAATAATGTTAGCATATTCCAGAGGCAATTTGGAGTAGTTGAAATCATGAGCTTAAGAAGCAAGTAGTTAGTTTAGCTGCCTATTTGCTCTATAATTGATTTACTTAACTTTGTTTGTCCTTCATTTCTTCATCTGTAAAATGGAAATAATAGTTCCTAACTTGCAGAATTAGAAGCGGTGTTTGTTAAGGACCTACCATAATGTCTGGAACAAAGTTGATGATAAATACACAGCAACTGCTAGTAATCTGAGTCAGAAGTGAAGCATCACTGAACCTTGTGTGCAGTCACACGGCAGCTTCTAGATCTTGTTTTTAGTGAGAAGGTCAAAGGGTATCCCCCTAGTAATTAAGGTGGAAAGTGTTGATTCATTTTCTGAAGGGTAAGTCTGTTATTTCAAAGTGAATGAAGTTTTAGGTGGCTGGATAGCCATGAACAGTGATATACCCACCATGATCCTTTACAATTATTATGGCTTTTAAAGATAATTTATTTTTGAACTATTCTGTTTCCTGAACTATGGGCAACTTAAGTTCTAAGTAACCAACTTTATATTCTTTTACAGATGCATGGTCATGGAGGCTATGACTCTGATTTTAGTGATGATGAACACGGTGGAGAATCTAACAAAAGGAAAAAAAGGTAAGTAATTTTTTATTGATTTGTGTTTCAGATCCTTTCTAGATTGCGATGAGGTATAAATAAATAATGAAAGTTTTTGGATTGTGTTTGCATGTGAAGACAATGATGCTCTATTGAATGAAGTTTCGTTTATTAAACTAGAATGAATTGACTCGAGAATTTGAGAACAGTTACGTGAAAAATAAAATAATGTTTTTGCTGTGAAGGGATATATGGAAAGGGAAGCGGTGGGAAAAAAGAAATCAATTAAAACTCTTGGATTTCTCTGATGCATCTATTTTTCATTCAGCTGTTAAGGACTTTACTTGCGAACATCATAGCTAAGAGAAGGGGCTTGGTTGGTGGTCCCTTTGCAAGTACGTGGCTTCAAAATGAAGTTAACATGGAGGGTAAGATTGTGATACAGTGCAGTTTTATGGTTTTGTGAATGAGCAGACTAAGTGCCCAAAGGAAGGAGCTCATGGAAGTTTTTATTGAATTGGAAGGGACAAGAACTGTCAGCAAATAAAGCCTGGGCCTTATAAGAAGGTCACATCTTGGTGATGTTGCTGTGTGAAGGGGCATTGTTTTCAGCTTTTAGTGCTTAGAAACTGATTTTATCTGTTAACTTAGGAGTGGTTGACTGATTCATATTAACCAAACTTATAAAAATTGCTTTATTATTTCACACAGAGAGCAATATATTAGGCATACTAAATGGGACTGAACATTTTTGTTGGGTACTTAGTCTTCATGGATAACCAAAAGAATAGAAATAATTATAATAAATCATATTGTTTGGTTCTTCACATTTTCAAGATTTTTCATTCAAAAATACTACTTTATAAGAATAGAATTTGAGCAAATCTAGATGAATAGTTTCTACTCTAGGGTTATATCTATCTTCCTAACTAGGGCTGATCCTCTATAGTCTTTATCACTTATAGTCAGCCCTTATTTTTTATATTATTGATTACCAAAACTTCAGTAGCTCTACAAACAGGAAAAGTGTGGAACAGTGAGATTAAGTAAGTTAATCTTACTTAAGGTTAAGATAGTGAATGACAGAGCCCAAGTTTGGATCTCAGAACCTGGGTGGTCTGACACTAGAACGCATTCATTTGTTAGTTTCATTTTCTCCATTTTATAAGTATTAAATAAAGTTAAGATATTAATTAAACTATTTAAGGAGACATAAAATGTCTCATTAAAGATCAGTGAGTCTTTTTTAAGACTTGAATTTTTAAAAAACATGTTCCAGTTACAAAAATATGAAGAAATAAGAAACATCCTTTGAGAAAAATGAACTCTTTAGTAATTTTTCTTCTTCCCAAACCAGGACAATTGAAGATGATTTATTGCTCAAAAAGCCATTTCAGAAAGAAAAACATGGAAAAGTGGCCCATAAACAAGTTGCATCAGAATTGTTGGATAGGTATGTACCTCTGTAAATTTTTTTTTCGGTTTAAGATGTTTTTATAAACTCAGGGACTTGGGGATTTAATTCTATTAATTAGAATAAAGACATTTGAATTTGCTTAAAATTTGTCTTTACAGGGAAGAAGCAAGAAATAGAAGGTTTCACCTCATAGCCATGGATGCTGTATCCTTTTTATATTTCTAGATTTTTCTAATAGAATATTTTAAAATTTACTTTTTTATTTCATAAAATCATGTGAAGTCAGGTAGACCCATATTATATTTTTAAAGGTAACTGTTTATTGATGTGCAGTCTTGTCATTTATACTTTTAAATACAATTCTTTTATTAACACATAAGAAAGACTCAGAGACAGAAATAATAAAACATATTACTAATGGTCTATAAGTAGGTTTACAAAGTCCATGAACTTGCAGATGTTTTTCCAACCTGTTTTTGCCAAGCTCTCAACATTTCTCATTTTAATACTGCTCTTATCTTTAGTCTCATTTTAACTCTTACTCTCTTACTACCTGGTTCTGGGCTGTTTAAGGTCTTTGTAAAACCTGTATCTAGCAGTAGATGTGTCTGTGGGCTGTCCTCAGGCCTGTTGTGACTTCATCTCTCAGGCATGGCTTGGGGTTGTTGTCAGGCTATATCATACTTCCCTATTATGGCTACGTCTCATCTCAACTTTTTGGTAAGACTGTGGCTCGTTACACTAACTGCTACCACTGGCCATCCATACTACTGTTGGGAATATTGGAGAATGGAAGAGAAGCCAAGCAAGACCTGAAGTGTTTCTGGGTATTTATTACTATAGTCAGGATTAAGAGAAGGAGACAATGGCAAGTAGATACATCCCCTACCTATTGACATCTGTTTCACTTTGTTATCATTTCCTAATCCTTTTCTTTAAGTTATAGAAATTCTCTTACCACCAATTTATTCCTCTTATCTTCTAACCCAATAGCTGAACTTTCCCATGCATCTCATCTGCCTTGTTCCTTTGGCATTTCAACATCTATTGTGCCTCCTATGACACCACTTATTTGGGGGTGTTGGGGTATCTAGTTACAGCCTGGTGAGGGTGAAAGTGTAGGTCCCCTTTTCTGGCATGGGTGGAGGTGGGGCCACAATTATTTCTAGAATTTTTGGCTGGAGTAGAGTGGGTACTGTCTAAAAGTTACCTGTCTTGTTAGGCTGCCCTCTATCTTGGTTATTCAGTTAGAGAGAGCAGGCTTTGTTGGGACTGTTCTTGTTGGCATTTTCAGCTTGCCAGCTTCTTCATTTTCAAGTCTGAGTTTATGAGTCAAAAAGAAAACCTGAGGAGCTTACCACCGTGTCATACCATGGGTCTTGAGCTCCGTAGCTGTTATGCCTTCTTCTCCTCACCTTTCAGAATCTTCTTATATTTGTTTTAGATAGAAGTTCCAAGGTTTTTAGTTGTTCTTAGTGGGAAGAATAGGGAGAGGTACATCTTTGTCTACTCCATCTTCCTGGAAGCAAGGTCCCACTCAGCACCTGCTTTTGTAAACAAAGCTTTACTGGCACATACCTGTGCTTACTCATTGAGGTGTTAACTGTGCCTACTTTCGTGCTGAAATGACAGAGCTGAGCTGTTGTGACTGGTACCGTATTGTCTGCATATTGACCATTGACAGAAAAAGTTTGTTAACCTAAAAGATTGAAGTGACTTGCCATGGTCATATGACCAGTTAGAGATAGATCAAGAACTAGAAAGAACCCAAATCTCTGGATATCTGGCTTTTCTCTTTTTTCTTTTCTGAAAGGTTAGCTGCTTTGTTGCCAGTCTTAGAAGTATCATATTCTGATTCAGTAATCTGTTAGAACATACTGTGATGAATTAAGTCATTATTTACCTTTGATATAATAGGGTGTAGTGAGGCAGTATTATGGATGAGGTCAGTTCTGTTATTTGCGTGTTCAGCTCTGGAGAGAATACTGTTGAGCTTTTTAAAACAAAAAGTAAAATGCTCATATATCTTGTTATATTGCATTAAAAATAAACATGACTAAATTCTGAAATATTAAAAGAAAGTATAAAAAAAGAACATCTAATTTCTTATATTTACAGGTTTTTTTTTTTGATAGCAAGCATTTCTATTTATTTCAGGACATAATGTACTATTTCGAACCATGGAGGATACTAAATTTATAACTATTTAAATATCCATAGGGTATTTTATTTTTGTAAAGATAGGCTCTAAAAATCATAAACTGAATAGATTAATAATATAACACACATCAAAATTATATTTAAAAAGGAAGTAGTGACCCTCAGTAGCTCTGTCCTGGTGTTAAAGATGGTATAAAGATACTTTCTTAGAATACCACCAAGTACTCAAACATTGGTAAATGCAGGTGTTATCAAAGTCTATCTCTGAGTCTAGCAAAGAGAAACCATCCAAATTTTATTCTTTATATTACGGATATGATTTAACTATATCACTCTGGCATGTGGTATTACTGTTTTTCCTACTGTAGCAAGTCCTAGTTTTCCTAAGACCTTTCCCCTGACTATTCTGGAAATCAAATAAATTTATCATGTATTTCAAACCTTCAAATTAGAATGTTATCCTCATAAATGTATTTGCCAGGTTGGTATATTCACATATACCTTTCCAATTTTAGGCTAAGCAAAAGACATGCCCTTAGAGCTTTATTAATGTTTTAAAGGAAGACAGCCCATCTTATTATCAAGAGAAACTGTGATCCATGGAGCATCTGATAGAGAAAATATTGATTTTGATACATTATCTTCTTTTATTCAAATACCAGTCTGATCACACATGGTCCAAGAACACTTTAAATAATAAGCCACATATAAACAGATGTTAAAGATTGGTCTTCAAACATTATAGCCAATGATGCCACGCTTGCCTATGATCTCGCCGACATAAAACCACATCCACACCTCGGTGGCCACTGAACCATTCAGCAGAGCTTCCTTAACTGTGAGCTGTTTGAAGCTACCAGTTTGAGCACTCTTGACTATTGTTTTCAAGCTCTGAATAGTTGTAGGGATCTCAGCAGGGGTTGGAGGAACCAGCTCAACCTTGGCATAGTGCCAAAATGTGGCCAGTCGAGGCTTTGAGTAAGTCACAGCAGTGTTCACCAGCGCTGGGGCCTTCTCCGCAAGGTTACGGACAAATTGGGCCATGGTTCCAAGCTGGAAGGTCATATTTACAGGTTTTTGAAAGCCTAACGTTAGGATTGAATATTATAAAAGTTGTATCTTCTATTTTAGAGGCTTTATCATTACTGGAATAACTATAAATTATATGTTATAGTAATAAAAGTTAAATTATACTCCTTATCTTTAATTTTAGAAACTATAATTTATTTTTCATATTATGATTAAAATGAATATTGGTGTGAGGCTGTGTGTATTTCACCAATAGAATAGGAAGGTCTCTTTTTCCCCAGGGAGAGCTATATTTTATCACAAGAGTAGTATATGCTTGAAAAATGTTCAAAACAACAGAAACAGTATTCAGTAGAAAGTGAGAGCCTCTCTGCTCTATAATATTGACTCCTAACAATTAATATTTACCCTTTTAGATGTATTTTTTTAAAAAGATTTATTTATTTCAGAGAAAGAGCACGTGAGTGGCGGGGAGGGGCAGAGAGAGAGGGAGACAAGCAGACTCACTACTGGGCATGGAGCCCCATGTGGGGCTCGATCCCAGGACCCTAAGATGGTGACCTGAGCTGAAACCAAGAGTCAGATGGATGTTCTAGTATTAGAAGTCCTAGCCACAGCAATCAGACAACAAAAAGAAATCAAAGGCATCCAAATCGGCAAAGAGGAAGTGAAACTCTCACTCTTTGCAGATGATATGATAC